CTTATGCATCTGTCTCCTCCCGAGGTAACGGGATATGTGCTAGATGGCGCTCTTTTCAACTTCTGGCGCTCGTGTTGACGAGTTCTTCTATATGTCGAGATGGGGCAGCAACTTTGGCGAATTTGGCGATGCTTTCCTATCACTTTGCGAGGACGACGTCAGCTGCAAGTCCCGCTTCGACTCAAAGGGCGTAAATGGCACTCTTCAACAGTTAATCGAGGAGTTTGACCACGATCCAAACTCGACTTGTGCTGCGTTGGTCAGCAGTACCTTTGAAGCCGGCGAGTCAGCGTCATTCAGACTTCGATCTGCACTTGGCAGTGCATTAATGGATTCGATCGTTCGGACTCTAATCCCGCCAGTTGTTTATCGACTCCAGCGTTGTGCACCTGACGACTTGGATATTCTGAAACAATTCTTCTTGGCTGTCAGCCAAGCCAATAATGCTAAAACGGAGGACAGCGCGCTCCAGTCGAATCTTCTGCAGAGTCTTATCGTGTACTCTGAAATGATGGAAAGACCACTGCTGAGTTGAAGGATCGATTTACGGGTGCGAAAATCAGCAGTGTCATGGGTGCTCAGTTAATTGTTCCTCAGTACTGCGCCTTCTCAAAAGACAAGTCGACGTCCTGTGAAGAGATCAACATGGGCAACTACGAATCTGACGGCATCATATACATGCGTGATCAGTACTGGAACAAGACTGCTACGATTCCGAACCAAGCCAGCGTACTGGTGTTGAGTGGTAAACTGGACCCCCGGACCCCCACAAATACGCTGAGATTATGTTTAAGCACCTGCAGGGCGAGAAGAAGGACATGATTGACATTCGAGTATGACATCGCACGGGGCAGTTGCGACGACTCGGATGGTTGCAGGAGACACGTCGAGTGAAACCTTTGGAATGAAGGTGTTGGCTTCGTATGTGCGCGTCGGTGGGGACCTCACGCGCTTGGACAAATCGTGTGTGGACAAAATGCCTGCCTTTAATCTGACCACACCGGAGTATTATCTTCACGGCTACTTCAGTACAGACGACGCCTACGATGGCGCGTATAATTCAAGCCTATCGACTTCTGCGTAGATAGAAAGCGGTCACCCATACGCAAACTATTTCTCTGATATCGATTTTCAACGATACTATTTCCTGGGAGTACTTTACACATTAGCAAAATGTACTTCTCCCTCAATGATGCCTTTTTCAAACGTACTTGACATTCAATTTGATTTGTTTGCATAGCCGTGCGAAAAAAACATCTAGTGTCATAAATGACCAGATTCAACCAACATCGTATGGGTTTTGAGCCGACTCAAGCAACATTTACGTTTTTTTTTTTCTTTGCGATGCAGCTATGGATTGCATGTATACCGGTACTGTTAGAGCTCCATTTTCTAGAGCGCCTAATTTTGTTTTTTAATTGGGAGCCTCTTTATCTACATGTAGTTTAAAATCTACCCTTTTGCCAAGGCAATCCTCTAGCTATTTTTAAGAATACTGAAGTACATCAACACCATTTCCCGGCCAAGTTTCCAGTTTTTTCAACCATCGTGCAAATGGCCCGTTTTTGTGTAATCTAACTTAAGGCTGTGTGGAGTCACACCATTTTTAATTTTAGGCTACGGTATTTGGCGATTTGCATGAAAAAGCCACTTTTCCCACGACTTGCATTTCTGCCTATCACACTTTTCAAGCAGGTTGCAAACGAAGGCGCAGTACTGAGAAACAATTAACTGAGCACCCATGACACTGCTGATTTTCGCACCCGTAAATCGATCCTTCAACTCAGCAGTGGTCTTTCCATCATTTCAGAGTACACGATAAGACTCTGCAGAAGATTCGACTGGAGCGCGCTGTCCTCCGTTTTAGCATTATTGGCTTGGCTGACAGCCAAGAAGAATTGTTTCAGAATATCCAAGTCGTCAGGTGCACAACGCTGGAGTCGATAAACAACTGGCGGGATTAGAGTCCGAACGATCGAATCCATTAATGCACTGCCAAGTGCAGATCGAAGTCTGAATGACGCTGACTCGCCGGCTTCAAAGGTACTGCTGACCAACGCAGCACAAGTCGAGTTTGGATCGTGGTCAAACTCCTCGATTAACTGTTGAAGAGTGCCATTTACGCCCTTTGAGTCGAAGCGGGACTTGCAGCTGACGTCGTCCTCGCAAAGTGATAGGAAAGCATCGCCAAATTCGCCAAAGTTGCTGCCCCATCTCGACATATAGAAGAACTCGTCAACACGAGCGCCAGAAGTTGAAACGACGCCATCTAGCACATATCCCGTTACCTCGGGAGGAGACAGATGCATAAGTCTTTCAGCAAGCATTGTGCCATAGCTGACGCCATACACGGTGGTAGCAGCTCCATTCGTAGATTTTGGGTAATGAACGTTGCAAGGTCAGTGGCAGCCGTGGTCACGGAGAAGGATGCCCAGATCACCATATTTGGTGGTGCAGGGTCTTTCGTGGGTATCTTAATATGAACGAACTGATCCGATCAGCTCTCAGATCCTCTTCGGTAATCCACACTTCAGAATCTTGACAAACAGCATTGGTAGAACTGCATCAACGTACGTTGAATCCTTGGTTGGGAAAATTGGTTTCGTAATGTGCATGTTATCACTAACCAATCCTTCAT